TGAACAGCATAGGTATTTAATTTTCAGAAGATCCCAGTTATCTAGTTTATCTGTTGGGATTTGTGTGTTGATGGTTATGGTTTGTATCCTGTTAATGCCATGTATTAGGGCCTGTAGCATGGGTCATATTTTTTTCTTTAATGAACTTTATAGTTTTTAGCTTTATATTTAGGTCTTTATTCCATTTTTAATTAGTTTTTATATATGGTGTGAGGTATGGGTCCTGTTTCATTTTTTTGCAGATGGACATCCAGTTTTGCCAGCACCATTCATTAAAAAGACTGTTTTTTCCCAATTTGATGGACACTGGGCCCTTGTCGAAGATCATGTGACTGTAGGTGGATGGATTTACATCTGGGTTCTCAATTCTATTCCATTGGTCAATGTATCTGTCGTTCTACCAGTACCAGGCTGTTTTGACTATTGTAGCTGTATAGTAGGTTCTAAGGTCAGGTAGTGTGAGTCCTCTTTCTTCTTCTTCTTCAATAGTGTTTTACTTATTTGGGGCTTCTTCCCTTTCCATATAAAGTTAATGATTAGTTTTTCCATCTCTTTGAAGAATGTTTTTGGTGTTTGGATCAGGATTGCATTGTATTTGTAAATTGCTTTGGGTAGAATTGTCATTTTCACAATGTTGAGTCTACCTATCCATGAACATGGTATGTTTTTCCATTTATGTAGATCCCTTTGGGTTTCTTGCAGTAGTGTTTTGTAGTTTTCTTTGTATAGGTCTTTTACATCCCTGGTTAGATTTATTCCTAAGTATTTTATTTTTTTAGGGGCTATTATAAATGGTATTGTTTTCCTGATTTCCTTTCTCTTCAGTTTTCTTGTGCACACACAGCTCAGGTGTCCAGGTCGTTGGTCACCAAATGTGTGTTGCAGAGTCTCACCTAAAGTCCTAGATGGGCAGGGCTGCAAAGAGGTGTTTGGAGCAGGTACAGGAATCCGGCTGCAGTAGGGAACGATGTGCTGAACAAGACAGGGCTGACAGGTGCCCCTGAGTTCCTGGATAGAAGGTGTTTCCCTGTTACCTAGAGGATGTAGGTGGGTGGATTTTGCAGCTGCACTTTGGGCACCAAATGCTGTTGGCTGTTATGACAGTGTGGTGTCAAATGTCACGAATCTGCAACTTCGCCTTGGCTTCTGCAATTCTAAATGGGCTTGAAGTGTATACCCTGTTGTTCTATGCTAATGAGGGCCTGTGCTGCTGAGTCAGCCCACACAGGTCTAGGCAGAGGTGAAGGGTATTAGAAGTCCATGGACCCATTATGCCAGTGCCTGGGCAAAGGGACAGTGCCTGCCCTGAGTTTCTGGCTTAGGGGTTGTGCCATTTTTTTAAAACTGCGAGACTGGTTTGGGTGCAGATAGTCCTGAGTTCCCAGCTTAGGGGGCTTAGCATTAATGCCTGTGGTGTTGAATTGGCACACACAGGTCTAGGCAAGGGTGACGGGTGTTATAATTCTGTGGTCCCCTTATACCAGTGTCTAGGCAAAGGGGCAGTGCCTGGCCTGAGTTCCCAGCTTAGGGGGCTTGGCAGTTTTTTTTCCTCTAAAGCTGCAAGACTGGTTTTGGCACAGTTAGGCCTTAGTTCCAGCTTAGGTGGTGTGGCATTTGTTGAATACTGCTGGACTGGTAGTGAGGACCAGGGAGGAGGTTGGGTGAGGGGAAAATGGCACTTCTCCACTGTGAAAGTCCCAGAAGGGGAGGGGTTATTTTGACCCCACGCGGCAGGTTAGATGCTTGCACTTAACTTTCACAGGTCCAGTGCCGCTTCCCTCCAGCTCCAGAGGCTTGTGCAGACTCTCCACCGCCCAATCTCTCCCAACGTGGTGAAACACATCCCGAGTGCTGCTGCTCGCCTCAGCCCACGTGCGCTGGTCGACCCAGCCCACAGGGTGCTGTATAGCTCATGACTGGCACTTCTTTGATGCTTCTGAACTGTCTCTCCCTCCCCCTGCTTCTCAGTCTGACTCCTCAGCTTTGTCTTTGATGATCAGGGCTCTTAGATTGTCATATATAATCAATTCACTTGTTTTTATGGGTCTTTGTTGTAAGAGGGACCACAGGAAGCATCTGACTATCCCGCAATCTTGGCCCCATCTCCAAGAGCTTAGACTTATTGTTTTCCCTTTGTATGTGACTTTTTTTCTCGAGTTGCTCTCAGGATTCTTTCTTTTTCTTTGGTTTTGGCGAGTGAGATTATGATATGTCTTGGTGACTTTCTTTTGGAGTCTATCCTATATTGGGTTTGTTGAGCTTCTTGGATGGTCAGCTTTTCATCTTTCATGATATTAGAGAAGTTTTCTGCCAGCAAATCTTCAATGATCCTCTGTGTGTTTTCCATTTTATCCCCCTTTTCTGGAACTTTAATCACATGAAATTTTTGCTCTTGATTGTATCCCACGTAGTTCCTAGGTTTTCATTTTTCTTCATTCTTTTCTCTGATTTTTCCCCAAAGTGGCATCCATGGATTTGTCTCCAATTTCGCTGATTCTGTCCTCCATTGTTTCAAGTTTGCTCCTAAAACCTTCTGTTTCACTGTCCATTTCTGAAATTTTGTTATCTTTTTGATTTCTAATTATTTTTATATTTTGTTCTTGTATTATTTTCCTTAATTCTTTGTTTGCTTTGTCTGTATTCTCCTTGATTTTTCCTGTGTTTTCCTTGACCTCTTTCCTAATCTCTTGAAGAGGCCTGAATATTAGACTTTTGAATTCCCTATCAGGTAGTTCCAGTGCCTTTTTTTCTACCAGAAGGTCATCTCGTGCTTTATTTTGGTCACTTAGTGTAGCCGTCTTGTCCTATTTTTTTTTATGTTTTGATATTGTCTTAGTCATTTAGTGCTACTCTAAACAGAAATACCACAAGTGGATGGCTTTACAAAGAGAAGTTTATTCTCTCACAGTCCAGTAGGCTACAAGTCCAAATTCAGGGCATCAGCTCCAGAAGGCTTTCTCTGTCGGCTCTGGAGAAAGGTCCTTGTGATGCATCAGTCTTTCCTTGGTCTGAGAGCTTCTCTGTGCAGGAACCTCAGATTCACCGTTTTCTATCAGTTTTCTTCTTCTCAGTGGCTTCAGATTTAATATTTCATCCCTTCATTTAAAGTTCAGTGTTCCAGGACTGACATCTGTATCTGTTTTGCTTGGTTTTTCAGGTGTTTGTGTGGTGGGATGGCTGTGTGTCCTACTAGTCCGCCATCTTGGCTCTGGGTCTCCCTTACCTTATTAATTTCTGCATTTATCTTTCCTCCTTTGTGCTTTCCTTTGGTTTGTTTTGCTGTTATTTTTCTGTTTTATAACTTCATTTGCTTCATTCTTTCATTTTCATTCATATAGATGGTTGGGCTATGAATTTTCCTCTGATCACTGCTTTAGATGTATTCCATAGATTGTGATATGTAGTGTTTACATTATTCTCTTTCAGGAACTCATTAACTTCTCTTTGTATTTCACCTTTCACCATAGAGCTGTATAATAAGTTTTAAAATTTCTAGGTAGAAGGGCCTTTTTGTATTTAATTTCACTGGTATCAGAATGTTTTTAATATTTTTACTTTATGTGAACTACAAATGTTTTTTGTGCTCTAATATAGCCTCAATTTTTTTGACAGTTCCATTTACCTTTGAAAGAAATGTATCCCTCTAATATCAGAGCATTAATGTTCAATGTATAGCCAAAAGATTTACTTCATTGATTATACGGCAATTGACACCCAACAATTTAAGTGAAACTCACATAACTGTGAACCAAAAAGGCACACACATCATCAGTGTTAGGTAGAGGAACCTCTATTATCCCAGTAAGGATCTGTTGGGGGTCTGATGGCAGTGGAGGTTGCCAAGCCTTTTTGGCACTCCCAGCCACTGGGGCACAAGTCACTGTGGTGCTGGGAAGAGCTCACGGCCAAAAAATTTTGACTGCATTCACAAATAATTCTCAAATTGGACTGATGTAATCTTTCTGGTGGGTTCTTCTGAGCCAGTAAACACCCAGTGGTTATAACTGATACTGCTGAACGTTCTGTGGGAAGAGAGATTTTAAGTTTCCAGTAGAGCACACACTTTAGACAGGCCGTATGAGTTCTAAATGTGGCAATTCCACAAAAGGGTACCTCTCGTGGATAGAACGTTTAATTATGAGGTTGAGGGGGAGGGAAGGAAGAGACCCAGACTTGCTATGAGACCCAAAACACGTATTAGCCTTGTCACTTTTTCCTCCCAAGCCTACCTCTGGGAAACTGGGCTACTTGTATTTGCAAGTGGCAAGGAAATGTGGGGGATGTAGTGTAGGGGCAGGAGACCATCTTGTGTTTCTCTTACTGCTTATGCTTACTGGGTCTGAAAGATTATATTATGAATGATTATGGAGATGAGGTGACAACTCCCAAGGTGGTCTTGGCATAGCCCACGTCAAGGGGCAAGAGAGATGTTTTAGGCTGGTCCAATGTATAAAAGGAAGAAATGGCTGAGCCCCCTAGTGATGACTCTGACGAGATGGTGCGAGTTAGATATGGTGAGGACTGACTAAGGGTTAAGTTGTTGGTGCAGGGACTCATCACACCGCTCATGTCACTGTGGAAGGAGAGCAAAACCCCAGCTGGTGGGAAAAGAACACCTATGACCCTGGGGGCTCAGGGGTGGGGGAGGTATCATTAACCTCTCTTAGATTAAATATGTCTGGAAGGATACCCAGAAACGGGGAGACGATGGGAAGGTGTTTTCACTCTTGTACTTGCTGAATTTTGAACCATGTGACTATTTTATGTATTCAAAAAGACTATTAAAAATGCAAAATGAGAAACAAAATTGTACCGGTATCTGAAAATAAAATTTAGAAACTAGCATTCTGAGCCATAACAGCTAGAACAGTCTCTAGTCAGAACCTAGAATAAAAACTTATTAAAAACAAAAGGTAGATTTTAACAGTGATGTGCACATTAACTCATACAACTTGATATTCTAAAAATATTTGTAAGGCTGTATATATAAAATAGTGCAAGCTGTTAAATTATTTTTATTTAACTAAAGAAGTTAACAGACAAATATCATATTTTATAACAAAAATTGTAACTGATGAGTTTACCACCTACATTTTAAAGAATTTCAACAATTATTTTAGTATAGCCAAAGTCTTAACACTTGAATTTTACCATTTTTTAAATGTAAAATGCACAATTATAATACTCATATTACCTATCTTGCAATTTTAAAGTTTTAGCTAAAACATGAGTCTCTGCAGGTAAATACAAGAGTTCTCCTACACTGAGGACAAATAAAATTATTACTAATAAAGTGCCACTGTATTAGACAATGCCATTTCAACTATTTCCATTTTTGTGGGAGGAGGACACATTTTATTTCAAAAGTACATAATAGTATAGAACTAGTCATTTTCATTACACTAGTATAGAATACTTGCATTATACTTTGTAACAAGCACAAGAATGCTTATTGATAGTAGATATTATCCACAGTAAAGAATTCCTCTCAAGAAAGACCACAACTGTGACTTATGACAAGTTGTACAGTCATCACTAAATACAGTTTAGTGTTGAGAGTATTTAAAAAGTACAATCTTGAACTAACATAAACCTAAGGCTACCAATATTGAGAAATAGTTGTAGGGACTTTATATTAAAAAAAAACAAACAAACAAACTTCTCTTTTAAACTAGGTTTCCACCTGTTCTAAGGAAGGGGTAGGGGATACTGGTGGATAGCAAAGTTTGGCAACAAGGACGTTTCTAGCAGGTGAGAGCCTGATATGGCTGGCTGTAAGACACATTTTCACCTAAGGAAAACGTGCTAATTCGATGTATACAGCAATTCTCAGGCACCTGACCTCCCTTGGTAGTGAAGCTGATGTTCAGATTTTTTTTAATGGAAAACATTAAATTACATAGTGACTTCAAGCCATGTTCCCGCAAAACATCTGTGTTCCGTAAACTAAATCCAAATGTTCCCTGCTAAAATCAAATAGTGATGCCATATAACCAATTCAGAGAAAAAGTGATAAAGTTAATAGATTGAATTCTCTCAATTTTAAGATTTTTCCACCATAAATTTGTCTTAAGCCTTTGTTGCCTATTACTTGTTGGACTGCTAGGAGAAAAAAAGGCTTGAAAACTATGAAATAGTATGCCTAATATTAGAAAATTTGAAACTGTTGATCATGCTTAGCTCAATAGCTTCTTCTGTAATGGAAATATGCCCATAGTTTTGCTCTTATACTGTTTAAGAGGTACATTTTATCATAGTAAATTTGTGTTCCTAGTTCACATTATAGAATTCAATACGTAAACATTTTAACGTAGCCAAAAGGGCATTATGAATTTTCTATTTGTTGTCCCTAAATATGTTTGAGAACCAATACATTAATGTCTGGCTCTAAAACTATCTTTGGGGTCCATGTCAAAGGAATGCTTTTAGAGACATCACTAAGGTTAGGGTTCCAAGATAAGACTACCAAATTCTATTCTAAAGTGAACAAATATGGCAAGATTCCAGTATATATGTTAGTAATGTTTCCATTTTCTTCCCCTAGAATACCTAGTGTGTATTTAAGTACGCTGATATTAAGGATTTTTTATTTGTAAGTATCACTGTATTACAATTTGGGAAAATTTTGCAATATACTTTCAGGCAGTTAGCTTTAAAACAATAAAACTTCAGCTCTTAGCACAAACAACCCTGAGAACAATGCATTCAAATTACAGCTCAACTAGAAATACCTAGTTGAGAAATCCTGAAGTACAAAAACAAATTCTGGAAAAGTTGTAAAGAAAAAAAAAGTTACCAACATTTTGAGGCACTACCAGACTACAGTACTTTTAAGAGTTGGAAAGACTTTGAAAAACGAACAAACATACAAAAAGCTACGTGTGTGCATGCACACATTCATATTGTGCTGTAATGAAAAACTGTCCTCAAACTGTATAGACTAAGCATTTTACTGCAGCATCTCCTCTTAAGGATAGCATGCTCTGGCTGCAGGAAGTTTTGGTAAGTAATATAAAGCATTGGTACAGAAGCGTGTACCATAATTGGAAACAGTCAAGAACTTCATTAGCAAGTTTGTTAAGTAACTGGCAGCCCTTGGAGGGGAGCATGAAAGAAACATCATAATTATGTTTATGATGCAAATGCTAAGTCAAAGTACCAATGATTTGATCTATTTCAGAGGGTATACAACTTTGTAGCAAATAAGATACAACAAAGTCTGTCACAGTAGCAATAAACTGATGTTCTAGAAAGAAATACACATTTGACCTATTAATACTGTACATAAACTGGTGAAATGCTTGCTGACAAAAATGGTGCATCACTGTATAATCAGCATGACAGTCTACATTCTATACATGGTAACCAGAGATATTTAGCATTTGCTACAAAAAAAGTACAACAAATACTGAAGATCAACTTTTAACAGTTCTCTGATGTCAAAAAAGAATGAAGTCACTTCTGTTCTGTTAAAAATGCTTCCTGCTTCTTTTTAAAACAATTTGTAAAGCTTTACTAAATGAAATACTTTGTTCTAGAGAAACATCCATTGACTTATGTGAAAATAAACAGTCCTGTATCTTTAAAATCTATACTTAGAAGAGTATTTACATTTCATATAGTATACAAGATGAAATATTCATGCATAAATAGCTTTTGCCATTCAAGATATGAAGACAGAGATGCATTGTTATAATTTGTACACCCTTACATTGCAAATGAACGTATATTAATGTGAAGTTTGACTAGTTAGGAAGAACAAGTGCATGCTAATCCAGAATAAATATTAAGCCAGAACACTAGTATGGTTAACTAGAGCCATATGAATGGCCAGCAAGCAGCACAGACTGATAACTTTCTAGAATTCCTGTGGGTAACAATGCCAACCAGTAGCAAGTAAGATATGCATTACAGAGTAACAAAAACTGGAGCAGTATGTAGTAGATATTTAAATAGAATACTGGAAAGAATTTAGCCTAATTCCTAATTGTGCTTTTGATGGGCAAAAGCTACATAAAATGTTACACTAAAAATGATTAACTACAACCACAATATTTCTTGTGCTCTACAATTCTCCTCTTTCCTCCTCGTACTCTCTTAATTAAAAGTATCTTGCTTCGGGTTTGCTGAGGAGAATACAAGATTTTAAAGCATGCACAAATTAAGCAACTAAAACCATGGGATCTTCTGCTCCTAATGCTATTTCCAGTCACTGATCAGATCAGTTACAGCAGCATATATATTTTCGTCTAGATGACAGGAACAAAGGCCATTTAGAGGTCAAGGCATATTGGGAGAGGTCTCACAACCAGTCTTAAGAGAATCAAGGTATTACTGAAATAGTGATTTTGTTCTACATTTGACTCCTATATAATGATTGTTATTGACTCTTTTAAGGTCCTCACAAACACTGTAACTATGTCTAGATTTGGCAATAAGACATATATGATCCAAAAGATGAAACAGAAATGCAGCAGTTATCACCTAAAACACCTTTTAAAATAATTCAGTTTATGGAATTTTTTCCTAGTTATGTTTCACATCAGTTACTGAATTAAGTCACATGACAATCAAAAAAATGTATATACTTCTTAAAATAAATATTGTAAGAGTAACATTTCTTCCATGATTTGCTTTCATTTCATGTTAGAAAAAATGTACATAATTTAACAAACCTTCTAAATCAATTTTAAATAAGAATTTCCAGTTTTTGTCTGACAAATATTTTAAGGTCAAAATACCTACTTAAAAATGGTTAGAAAGGAGTGATTACTGATAAATACCAACACCTACTCAAATGTGGTTGGAAAAAAAGCACTGCATAGTTTCCTGCAAAGCAGGTTACTCCTCTACATAGAGAACGAGAGAATGACACAGAGAGAAATGGAAAACAAAAGTTAAGAGCACACACAAAAGGCAACTTTCTATTTTTCATGCTGATTACGAAAAGGCCTCAAATGAAAACACAGCTTTAACCAATCCTCTTTGCCACTGTCCCTTGTGTCTTCTTTACAATTTAACTTACTAATATTCACCCATTAGTGCAATGTCCCTCTGTCAACCAGAAGCAGGTACTAAAACCATATAAGGTTGTATTAAGTTTGCCAACAATTTGGCAAAGAATAGTACAACCGAGGTAATACAGGTGGTTAGTTGCACACAGCCACCAAGGTAACTGACCATTTTTGATAACATGATTTTTGTTTATCTTAAAGATTTGTGCTTGCCACACACAAGTTGAAAATGTGACAATTCTAATCCATAAATCTATTTATTCTATGATATTATGTCTGAAATAAATACAGAACAATCCAACTTATATGTGGTACTTCAATACCACTAGATGCTACATTGCTTGATTAAAACCCTGGTTTATCATTTAACTAAAATTCAGGAATGATTTGTTCAGATAAAGCACATCTGCTAAAGCTACCTTATCTTTTTCTTGGACTCACATATTGAAAACCACAGGAATGTTACAGGAAAGACACCTACAAAATTAAAAAACAGAATTATACATCTTGATTATTTTTTTAAATTGCCAATTCCCTGCAAAACTAACCCAGCACAATTTCAAAACAATTAAAAAGAAATGAGGTTGCTTATGAAGGCCATAGCTTTGGTGACAACTTAGAACCAAACTTTAGATCTGCAGTTGATCCAGACCTAAACAGTTTGCTCATGCCTGATGATTCCATTTATTTGCAGGGCTTTATGGCTACAGCATATTCTTCACTCATTGCACACATTACAGACACCTGGAAGGAAAAATGCAGGCAAAAAGTTATTCAGAAGATAATATGTATATAAATACCAAGTGTATTTAATTCATCATATACTATATATTTGAGGATATTTTGTATATACTGACTTTGGAAGGGGGTCCTCAAAGACCAAATAATCTACTTCCATTAGTTTTCTAAAGTAAAATTTCTCAGAATAAGAACTATAAATGTTTTGAAACTTATTAGCTGTTACACTCTTGAAAGTTACAACAGAGTGAATCTCCTTTACTCCTTAGCACTCTCATGGCATCCCTTTGTTGTCATCCTCAAAAATAGATGAGATGCAGATCTTCAAAGCAAATATGAGATCGACAGTGCCTCTGTCCCAATAAATGAACTTTAATACCTTCTTTGGTAATGGGCTCAGAGGGCTTCGTGAAAAAAACTGCCTTATAAAGACCACTTTTCAATATTTCAGTCACACTGAAAAACTACATTTCATATATATTTTACACTGATTAGTTTAGGTCAAAGTTTTTATAAAATAGTTTTAAAAAACAATCTCCCCATAGATCTCTTTACCTGTACATCTTCACCTGCATTGTATTTTCCTTCTATCTCTTTGCCTAGTTCACCTTCTGGCAACTTAAGATCCTCACGAACTTCACCACTTTCTGTCAGCAGGGAAAGGTAACCATCCTGAATGCATATCAGCTATTAGAAGAAATTACATCATTTTCACTGATTAGATTTACTCCTTTGTAATATTTACACAGTTAAATTATAATTCATATGAACTTATATAAACACAAGGAATACATTAATATATTATTGATGTTTAAAAATATAAACGTATAGAATATGTATAAAAGTATAAGTTTACTCCTCCCTGCAGCCCCCCAGTCTCTGTTATTAACAGGTTAGGCTTCATTACAGTGTATCCTAAAATATTTACAACATTATATACACAAAGCAAAAATAATTTCTTTTTTAAAAAACAGATGCATTTTTCAGCAAGTTAACTTTATTCACTTAATGTCTTGGAAATCTTTCCAAATCAGAAAATATGAACCTACCTTAGTGTCTTAAACCACTACACAACTGCATGGACATACTGTAATTCATTTAACCATTTTCCCATCAATGGGCATAAAAGCTGTTTTCAGTTTTTCACTATTAACATGTGTTTTATAATTACAAACAAAGTGGAAAAGTTTTGGTTTCCAACTCACTGCTAGCAAAGCTAAATTTTTTTTAAGACAAACACTGGCTTGTTGAAGACATTAATGAAACAAACCCAGTCATCAACCTAATCTGGAAAAAGGCACAGTTTTGATATAAGAAAATTCCTTATATCATAGGCATGGAGAAACAGCCAACCTCCATTCATCTATTCCAAGGGCATGTATACCATCATTGTGACTGAACTCTACAAGCTTTATAAGAGGCAAACTTCCAGAATACCAGCTTTTAAAAAATTTTTTCAGAATATCAGCTTCTAACATTAATACATACAAAAGGAGTGAACAACATGGTCCTTGATCCCCTTTAACCACTATGATACAGCACAGGATGCCGCAGAGTTACGAGTTTCAAAGCTCTCCACTATGGCAATACCAAATCTGGCTATAGCTTCCCACAGAAATCCCACCTACCGCAGGAGATTTGAGTTTCTGTATACCACTTCCTATCCCCAAAACAAAAAATACTCAATCCTTTGTATAAAGCAACAACCACCTTTAATTAACGTTTTATTCACTCAAACATTTGTGGGGTGGTTAGTGGAACAGTGGAGAGCAAGAGGGCTGAGGTAGAAATGCTTCCAAGACAGATCTTTCTGATTTCTGCTCTTTGAGCAATTCCCTCAGGTAGAATTTGTCTATTTCAAGAGTTAAAGGTTCACACTGCCATTAGTGACTGAAACATAGATGCCAAATAATAACACTTGCATTTTGATATTTATTTATACAATGGTGGTACTTTATTTTTTAAGAGTTAAGATTTCATAAAACTGTGGAATGAAATATATAAATCATTTCAAACATAAAAACATATAAACATTAAAAATCTAATAAAACAACACTTTATGAACATTAAACATATTAAAATAAATTGCTGTATGAAACAAAAATTGAAGTATTCAAAAATAAACTAAGCTACAGAAAATAATTTGCTTTTAAAATTCATTAAAAAATTTACAGAAAAGTTACAATAATGCAATGAGAAACCCCATCTTTACCTAAATTCAACCATTGTTAACATTTAACCACATGTACTCTCCCTCTATACATATATATATACATATATGTATGTATGCATATATACACAGATTACACTTTATATAAAATATTATACACATTCTTATTCTTACCAAACCATTTAAAAGTTCAAAAGATCATGACTAGCAGTAAGTACTTCAGTGAGGACATACTCTTACATAACCACAGTTCAATTTTCAAAATGAAGAGATTTAATATTGATACGATATTACTTCATAGCCACTATTCAAGTTTTGCCAGTTATCTGAATACCGTCTTTGATAGCAACTTTCCCCCCAGTTCCAGGGACACACCTTGCATTTATTTGGCTGTCAGTTCTGTTCACTCTCTTTTAATTTGGAACAAGTCCTTACCCTTTATCTTTATTTTTCATGACACGACATTTTTGAAGAGTAGAGGTTCACTGTTTTGTACAATGTTCCTCTGTTTGAGTTTGTCCATTTCCTGATGATTCAGGTAATGCATCTTTAGCAGGAATACTACATAAATGATGTGTCTTCAGAGTTATCACATCAGGAGGCAAATGATGTCAACTTGTCCCATTACTGGTGAAGTTAACCTTGATCATTTGGCTAAGGTGGTATCTGCCAGATTTTTCTGGCAGGTACCCTCATTCATCTCACAGCTACCCTATCGGACAGAGTAGAAATGCCCTATAGGTTTCCAAGGCTGTAAATCATTATGGAACAGACTGCCACATCTTTCTCCCACACAGCAGCTGGTGGGTTCGAAACGCCAACCTTTTGGTTAGCAGCCGAGTACATAACCACTGTGCCACCAGGGCTCATGGCAATCTATTTGGGTTTTTTGGTTAAAAGTACCCTTCCTTCCTCTGTAATTTGCAATCTCAAGAAAAAAAAAAAAGCCAACTGTGTCACTGTTGAGTCTCAAGCATATTCTTGGGCAATTTTTTTCATCTTCTCTCGAAGCTGTCTTTCAGAGTTGGAAGGAGAGGATGGTAAGAAGACAGTCTCAACAGTCAATTCTAAATATTTTCTTCTGATCATTCATCTTTAAACATGCTACTCATTTGATTACTTTGAGATGTTTTCAAACAATTTTTTTTGGGGGGGTAGTGAGTATAACTTTTTGGTAATAGCAAGAAGGGAGATGAGAGACAGTAGGGTCAGAAAACTTGTACTAGAGGTTGTAGGCATGAGACGGTATACCCGCTTGTTGCTGACTGACAGACGAAATAATGTAACCAAAAAATACTAGTACCAGAATGTGGTATTATCTCCTACCAACAGAATTCAGGGCTCTTTGGAAAAATGGGTAATTTCAGGTGTAGGGCAGGGAGCATAAAAATGTACCTGGAACAAGCTGTGTAGGAAAGCCATCAATGACCACTAGGACCACGTCAAAGGGACTCAGGCGCTAACCTGAATAAGTGCTCAGTGGTCAAAGAGAGAACAACTTGCGAATCGATAAGGATAATAACTATAATGGATTGAAACACGTATGTTTAAGTGCTCAAGTTCATAGAGAAAAAAACATTTCATTACTTATTTTCAGTGGATATTGGGAATGAACTCATTTTGAAAAGTGGTAATTAAAGGGAAAAAATGAAGCATTAATAGTCTCACGCGTGTGTGTATATATATGTGCGTGTATATATATCTGTGTGTATATATGTGTGTGTGTGCGTGTGTGTATATATATATATATAGCACCTCTGGTAAACAAAAAATTGATGATGGAGTTTATAGAATTATTCTGGCTAAAAAAAATGACAGATCATTATTTTGTCTCCACTAATAAATTAATGAATTGAGGCAATGATCAGAAATCTAATAATGTTACAAAAAGAGAAACTGACTTATTTACCTGATGGCTGCATAGAACATCACCTACAGAGTAGTCTTGTTAAAAAAAAGAGGAAGAAAATAAGAATCTAAACTGAATCTGACCAAACCTCTACATCTAATTACCAATTTTCAGGAAATGCAAGGACAGAAGAACATGCTAACTAACAAGGAAATACAATCAGTAAAATCCAGACTGTGGGGAAGTCTACAAATGATCCAGTTTCTTCATCAAAAAATTACAAAGCAAATGGAGTAAGCAAAAGAGAGAGAATAAATGAATATGGGAAAGGGAGGGAGGGAAGCTGAGTGCACCTGTGAGACAGAAGAACCTACAGATTAAAATAGATTTAAGGGATACATCAACCAATTTCAATGTGTGGATCTTACATAGGTCCTGATTTAGACAAACTATAAAACAAAAACAACCACCATCGCACACAAAAGAAAAAAAAAGGACAATTAGGAAAATGTAAATACTAATTCAATATTTGACATTAAAGCATTATTAATTTTTAGGTGTGATAATGTTTTCATTTTGCTTTTTAGAGTTCTCTTCTAAAGATACATTGCAGATGAAATGACATAGTATCTGGGATTAGCTTCAAAATAATGAAGAGGTAAAGCAAGAAAAAATAGGTGATGGGAGTATAGATGTAATAAGACTGGCCATGTATTGGTAACTGCTGAGGCCAGGTGATGACTATGTGGGATTCATTATACTTTGAAAATTTCCTTAATTAAAAAAAAAAACGGCATGGTATCTCTGAATTCCAGAAAGTGCACTGTAACCACTAAATGCTGAGAGGCACAGGGAGCTGCAAAAAGCGTGAACTGAAAGGAAAGGGGGAGGGGGAGTTAGTGACACACCTGCCATGAAGCTGCAGGTTCTTCCTAAGATGTAGTCAGAGTAAGAAAGGAATTACAGAGAAACTTTCTGGCCTGTATTTATACTATTGGTACATAATACAAGGCTGGAGAAAGCATATCATCAGTACAGGCACCTTCTTAACACTAATCTCTGAATTTAATTTTCTTTCTCCATCCACTTCAAAACAACCAGACTGGTTTAGGTAAGGCCTAACCCCTTCTATTTCTTCCGTCTGCTCTTCTTCTAGCACTCCAAAGCTGCTTTAGAGCGACTGGTCCCTGGAAGAGACTGAATGTTTGATCATTATTATTATACAACCTAAGCAAATACCACCACCATGAACTGGGTGGTTATCTGACCCACCAAGCCATGAAGTTGGGTATGCAGAGCAGCAGTATTTTTACCACAAGTGAGGGTAGCACAGACGAGATCACTTTGAGCACATTATCAAGGCACAAACAAGCTGGGAAGTGGCTCAGACTCAGAAAGCACCTTGTCCTGCCACTTTGACTTTTCTTGATTTTTAAGAAAAAATGCATTTTTGAGTAATTTGAATTTTTAAGTAAAGGACATCACACTGTTCATGCAATTCTGCATTGTGCTGTTTTTTAGGGGTTGTAATATACTTAGGGATCTTTCAATTCATACCAATGGCTTCAGGGGGTCATGTTGACTACTAAAAGAATTCAGAATGGTTTCTAGATGGTTATGCATGGTATAATGGCACCACTCAGAGGTGGCCCTCAAAGATAGGGGAGATGGGATGGGCAGAACATCAAGCGCTGGACCTAGAAGAGAGAATAGAGGTTTGGATTTATACTGATTATGAGCAATGGCTAAGTCTGGCTGGAAGGTCAAGGACACCAGAAGAACAAGATGGGGAAATTGCTGACGGTGAGCTCTGGGGAAGTGGTATATGGACAGACTTCTCCAAATAGTTAGAGAATAATATGTTCATATTAATGTGCACCAAAAGGCATCTACTGTAGAGGAGGTTTTAAATAATTAGGTGGACAAGATGAAGCTCTCTGTTGATGTCATTTAGCCTTTTTTTGTGTGTAGCCTCCCCCGTTCTTTCTCACTTGGCTCATGAACACAGTGGCCATAGCTGTATGGGCTCCACAATACAGGTTTTCTCTTGCCAAGGTCAATCTGACCACAGCCACTATTGAATATTCCACAGTAGAAACCAATGCAGTCCCTGAGAGGGCACCATTCCCAAGAGGGAGCAACCAGCCACCTGGTAACACTGGACTCCTTCCATCGTGGAAAAGGCAGAGATTTGTGCTCACTGCAACAGATTCTTACTCTACATACAGATATGACTTTCCTGCTCACAGTGCTTCTCTGAAAACCCCATCCATGGGTTTACAGAATGCCTCATTCCTTTCATGGTATATCTCACACAGCATCACTTCTGACTAAAAAACTTATTTTACAGGCAAAATAATGAGGCAACAGAACAATGGCTAGAGAATTCACTGGTCTGTGTACCCCATAGTCCCCAGCTTGCCTGTGTGGATTGGCCTTGTAAAGATTCAGTTTTGTCACCTGCTAGGTGACATTTTGTGGGCCTAGGTCACTGCTTACGGGTCACAACGTATTAGAATACATGGTGCTGTTTCTCCTACAGGAAGAATACACAGGTATGAGAACCAAAGGGAGTGGTTCCCCTCACCGTTAACCCTAATGATCCTATAGCTGTTTGCTTCTTGTCTCTGCAATAGTGGGCTCTGCTGGTTTAGAGGTTTTCCCTTTCCAAAGAAAGACTTTCTATCAAGGGACAGAAAGGTTCCACAGAACAGATAAAAATTATTAAAAGAACTTAAATTCAAGGAATTCACAGCATCATTAATTCTTTCTGTTGTTTTATTTTAAAGTTGGAACAATAAAAGTCAACACACATATCCCAATATCTAAAAGGCATATTACTTATTTCAAGGATATACTAAGATTTAATATTCACAGTTTTGGCATTTTAGCAATAACCAAGAGATCCACAATACATACTCTGGTGTGTCCTGTAGTAATTAGTTTTCTTTCTGGAAAAGGGTCTTCAAATGACAAACAGAACGTCAGTGAATGCAGGAAAGGCTTTTAAGTTGTGGCGTGGTGCACAGGAACACAGACTTTTCTAACGAAGTATGATTCAAGAGAATACTGGGAGTCTGAACACACATTTCTATATTTAAGAATTTGGGATTCCCGAAGGTGTCTGGATGCATTTGTATTTTACACTATCACTGAGCCCCTGGCAACCATAATTACTATGAGGACAAGTAAGGGAAACTAGCAATTCTAATCCAAGCTACATCTTGGAATGAAAGAGTCAGGAGGCAATTTTTCTTTCATCCTGAATTTATTTTAAAACACATAAAAATTAAAACTGTAAATAATTAATACACTTCTTTCCTTAAACAAAGGTTTACTTTTTAATTATTATAATCAACAGATAAACATATTTCACTTTACCCAAACGCCAAACTGGAACTCAGAACAGTGAATTCAGCAAATACAAAGGACTACATGTAGCCAAAGAGAAGTAGGAATTTAACCAAGGCACTTGGGTAAGTGAGTAAAGACCACTATAGCACATTAAACATAACTGGAAAGGCTCACAGAACTTTTTAGAAATGAACGGGAATAAGCATTCTATGCTGATTTGATACTGAGGAGCACGTGAACATAGAGTACTTACTCTGCCAGATACTGTTCTAAGTATTAACTAATTAAACCTCACTATCATTCCTTGAAGAGTTTATTATTCTCACTCCTACTTTATAAAGAAATGGAAGCAAGACAGGTTAAGTGACTTGACAACCAAGACCACAGAGCTAGTAAGTGCCAAAGCAGAGAAGTGGACCTGGTCTGCCTGGCCCCAGTCATCCTCTTACCCACTGTGCAGCATGAACCACATACCAAGGGTTGGGACTAGGGTGAGACAAGTGAGACTCATCTTGGGTGCAAAATAATTCCGTGATCAAGATAAATAAATATTTTAAAAAGTCAAAATTAATGCAAAAATTCCATGATGAGCAAAATGAAATAAAAATAGGATCAGAATTACTAATTTTTCCTTTTTCCTTAAGCTCCAATATGGCTTGGTATTTTTACTGGTCTTGTTTTTATTTAAAATTTTGTGCCCAAGGAAGGGCCTTTTATCTCACTTGCCTCACCTACTTCCGGCCCTACTCTATATCATAACAAAACCCAAACCAAATTTTTCCTTTATGCTGAATTCTGAGCTCCAGTCAGTGACTAAGTTGATAATAGTACTAATTATCTGAACTACTGATACACATCTTTCTGAAATACCCAACAGGCAAAAGCATTCTAACATTGAACATTCAAAGTACTCACATTTTAGGAATGAAAACAGAGAAACCCATTTTTGGCGTAAGAAAATTCTATACTCAGCCTTAGCATGCTGTAATACATATGTGCCACACTGAATAATCACATATGCATTTAGCAAATGTTTATTAAACACCCACCACCAGTGGCTCCTTGGGAGAAAGATGTGGCAGTCTGCTTCCATAGAGATTAGAGCCTTGGAAACCCTATGGAGTTGCTATGAGTCGGAATCAACTTGATGGCAATGGTATATGTGTCAAGCCTACCTACCAGATTAGGTATCTCAATAACAGTAGAATAATGAAGTGGAAGTTTTTACGGGAATAGGAGGAGCAGAAAAGAAACTAGTTTTTGGTATGTATCTACTTATGAGGTACTTGTGGAGTATGTTTACTCATTTAACCTTCAAAACATTATTCCTCTTTTGTAGATGGGAAGACAGAGGCTCAGAGAGGTTGAGAAATTTGTCCAAGGTCATCTAGCTACAAAGTGGCAGAACTAGATCTAAACCCAGAACTGCTTGACTAAAAAATCCACTTGCTGTTATTATACTAAGACAATTCAAATTCTCCATAGACTCCAAAACGACCTAGAAAACATTTGTCAGTGGGAAAGTGAAAATATAAAACTGCTTACTATGATTAAAACAATGCAAAAATATGTTTGCATATGGACAAAGAGTAAAAGGAAATAGCTGGGTGGTTGCAGATGATGACAACATTCTTTAAAATCTTATACAATATAAGGTATAGAACGAAATCAGTTCAAATTGGATAAAACAAACCTAAGTGTCAATCTTGTTATTTTTCACTATGTAATATGAACAGAAAAGAGTTCTCTATATATGGTATGCTTGCTACGGAAACTGAAGACTTTCAACAAAGGCATTAGTTATGATTAATCTGGCTCCTATATCCCAGGAGATCAATTATTTAGTTATCGTCAATACTCCAAACAATAAAAACCTATGATTATACATGACCTATCCAAATGTATAACTGGAACTAAAGTTTGAAGTTTATACCTATAATTTAACAAAAGGTTACAGCATGGTTACTAAATAAATACAAAATATAGTTTTGTATTTTCTTCACCATATTCAGTGACCATGTACTTTACCCCTCATGTTTATGGCTTTCAGCTTATTATTTAAGAATAACAAACTGACTCACATCCAATAATACACAAACTTTGTTGGTGGGAATATGAATTTCAATAGTTTCTTCAGAGTCTTAGGTCTGATCAGTGAGAAGAAATAAAACATCCAGGAGGGAGTTATCTAAATTTGGAATATTTTACAACAGACAGAATAGTCATTTTACTAAACACTGGATTTACTCAGTCACAGTATGTAGTCACCTGCTCTAAGAAATACTAAGTGCTCAAGTTTTTAAAAATGCAAGAATGTTTTTTAAAAAAAATCACAAACCAGTAATAATCCTACAGCACAAGTATGAAACATCACTATCTATTTCTCCTGTTTCTAAGATGGGTGGTGCCTAATGATTGAAAAAACTTACAAACCCACTCTTAACAGATTACAACTGATAGTCGAAAGTATGTGCACCTTTAAGAAGCAAGTATCATTCTAAAAAAAATTAGTACTTACTTGATAATCATTTCTCTTAATATTTGGAACATCCATGTTGTGAGTAGAAGGACAAATATCTTCATACTTTTTGCCCGTGAAAATATCAATTCCAACAAGGTGAACCTAATAGAGAAGGAGAACAGGAGACCTGTTCAGTCTCTGCCAAGTGTATCACTCAATACATACAACATTAGAGCACAATACCAACGCTGATTATGACATATTCTTTCTTCACCTTTCAAGGTCATCTAATTTTATTTTCTTAAAAAAGTAATAGTTACAGAAACTCAGAAACAGTAAACAACTAAACAGTATCATGACTTATCAAGACCCCAAATCAGAGAGTCCAGTAATTCAGTTATGAGAGTAGATAAGAAAAACTAAATTAGGTTTCTTAGAACTGTTAGATCTTCTCATCTGTAAACTGAATGAATCTTTTTTTTTCCTATTTAAATGATATTTTATTTTGTTTTCGGTGAAGGTTTATAGAGCAGTTTAGTTTCCTATTCAACAATTTCTACACAAATTGTTCAGGGACATTGGTTACATTCTTCACAATGCATGACATTCTCATTATTTCCGTTCTGGTCTTCCACTACTGAATAGATCTTTTACCTCACTAGGATTCAAGAAAGTTTTGGTTTCCAGTAATAAAACATTATAAGGGAGTACGAGAAAGAAATGGTACCTTTCAGTATTCAAAGTAGTATCTGATCACCCAGTGTGTGGAAAATAGAGCTTATTACAAAATTATAAGTATAAAAATCTCATCATTTGTAATGGAATACAGATTATCAAAATCCCAACGTTAACACCAAAGATAGACCTGGAAGGGCACTTACCTTGGCATGACCGTGCTTTCCAGTTTTGGAAGTTGACATCTCCACTATTTTGCATGGTCGTCCTTTGAGCACCACGAAGCCGTTTTTGCGCAGGGCCGAGCACTGCATAGGGTAAGTGCTGGAAGCCCCAGCATCTCCAGTAGTGAAATCAACTTCATCCGCCATGGTGGACTAGACAGATGGTAGCTTTTCCGAGGGAACTACACAAAGTTTGTATTTGCATTTTAACAACGGGCGTGCAGGCAGGGAAACGGATCATTTCAGACAGGTTACGTGCCAAGCATCATGGGTCTATCAGTTTTGCATTTATAGAACACCCCCCCACCCCAAGACTAGCCAGCACTTTCAAACTCCGGCCTCTACGAACTTTTCCATCCTTTGAGGGGGAGATGGGAAAGAAAACCGCAGAGGAGCTCGCTGCGGGGTAGGGGACGCGCCAGGGGCAGCAGGTCCCGGCACCCAAGGCCCCACCGCAGAAGCAGCCGGCGACCTTCCCGCGCCGCGCGGCCCAACCCAGCTCCGCCGCCACGATCCTCTCTGCGGGGGACCCAGCCCAAGCCGCACGTCCCCGCGAAGGATGAGGGACAACTGGACCCGGCCGGCAGCACCTGACCCTCGGGTAGCGTGCGCGCACCCCGCCCTCCGCCCCACGGTGCCACCGCCCGGCTGCTCAGGCACCCCCTGTCCTGCCAGACCCTCGGCCCCACCGGCCCCGCACGGGCCTGAGCCCCGGCGGGTCCCGCACTCGCCTCGGTTCGCCTATCCCTCCTTCCTCCGGTCAGGGCTCGGCTCCGGCCGCCATCCCCAGCCCTGCCTCGCTCCGGTCCCAGCCCCACCAGCTTCTCCCCACGTCCTCACCTTTTAGTGGGGAAAGAGCGCCTTTTGCCTGCTAACCCGCGCCAGACCCCACAGCTGCGGCGACAACAGCTGAGGCGGCGGCGGCGGCCGCGGCAGCTCCAAAACACGGGGCGGGGGCCACCACACTTTCCACACCCCAGCCTCCCGCCCTTTCCCGCCCCCACCTCAGCCCCACTTCCGGGATAGGCCCCAGGCGCGTCACAGGCACTGCCCTCTCGGTCTACCATTGGCTACATGGTTCCCGAGGCCCCGCCCAGTCACATGAAGCGCGCCCTGGCAACCCCACGTGCTGCGGATTAGTACACTTCCGGCGTGAAGTGCACTTTCAGGAGTCCGGTTGTTGAGGATAAACTTGCCCGCGAGGAAACTTGCTCCGTCAAACTACTAGGTTCGCTGCGGTCTGGTCCCAGGGAAGTTAACGGTGACCAACGGGGTCAGAGCCATGCGCCCATTAGCCCCTGCCCTCAGGTGCGTGGCAGTTGTCATGTGACGGTTGTCAGACCTCGCGAGGCGCGCGAATTCAGCGGGTGCGCTGCGTGGCCGTTGAGGGAACTTAGGGTTCAAGCTTTTGGCCCAAGTTGCGACCCTCCTTGGGGTTCGAACCCATGTTTGTACCTTGAAGAAGAGCCCAGATGCAGTATTTTATTACCTGGCTCCACGCTGCGGGACCCCAGCCACCACCTAGTGAGATTCTGGCAGCGACTGTCACAGGGGACTCCGCCAGAGTCAGCAATGCTTTCATGGGTGGAAACTCTTGAGACAACCTTGATCTAAAAAGCAGTAATGAAATGACCTAATCTACTCACAACAGTGGCTATTACGGAGTTGTGGAGGCAAAGTGTGATCTGACTCCTATTTTGTGGTCCCGAAAGTTGTTCGGCCAACTCACCCCTTCCATGGCACACGAGTTCCATTGAGTTTGGGGCTTGTCCAGTATCTCGTTAGAGCGGTTGGATTGTGTTCAGAATCGACCTGGAGCCAATAGAGACTTGAATAGGATTAGGGGCCAAGAGATACACACCCTTTTTCACAGATCCATTTCGCAACTCACCACATTTTCTTACCTTGGACAGTGACCTAGGAAACTACTTGCCTCCCACAGCTCCATTTATGTGATCCTTTGAGTTTGTACTGCTGTCTTAGGAGTAATCCGTTTTCTCACATTCTGCGGCTCTGTAGTTTACACAGATACTTCAGATGCATTGTCTAACTTTCACAGTAAACAAGTGAACTCTCACAAACTGAGCAGCCTCTAGGTAATATATGAAAGAGCTAGATTAGATCCACAGTTCGTGAGTCCATTCTGCTTCTCCTTACACCACCTAACCTTTCCCTGATACTGTTAGAATGATTGCTAATATTTAAAGAGTATTTGGACAGGTATTGTGCTAAATGTTTTTTGTTTGTTTTAAAACTTTTTTAAATTGTACTTTAGATGAAGGTTTATAGAATAGTTTCTCATTAAACACTGCACCTACTGTTTTATGACAATGGTTAACAACCCCACGACATGTCAACACTCTCCCTTCTCGACCTTGGGTTCCCTATTACCAGCTTTCCTGTCTCCTCTTGCCTTCTAGTCCTTGTCCCTGGACTGTTGTACCCGGTTGGTCTCGTTTTGTTTTATGGGGCTGTCTAATTTTTGCTGAACAGTGAACCTCAGGAGTGACCTCATTACTGAGGTAAAAGGGTGTCGGGGGGTTGGGGCAATACTCTTGGGGTTTCTCCAGTCTCTGTCAGGCCAGTAAGTCTGGTCTTTATTTCGTGAGTTAGAATTTTGTTCTACATTTTTCTCCAGCTCTGTCCAGGACCCTCCCTTGTGATCCCTGTCAGAGCAGTCAGTGGTGGTAGCTGGGCACCATCTAGTTGTACTGGACTCACTCTGGTGGAGGCCATGGTAGCTGTGGTCCATTAGTCCTTTGGACTAATCTTTCCCTTGTATCTTGTTTTCTTCATTCTCCCTTGCTCCCGAAGGGTTGAGACCAGTGGAGTATCTTAGATGGCTGCTCACAGGCTTTTAAGATGCCAGATGCTACTCACCAATGTAGAATATAGAACATTTTCTTTATAAACTGTGTTATGCCAATTGAGCTAGATGTTCACCAAGACCATGGTCCCCTCAGCCCTCTGCCCAGCAGTTCAGTTCCTCAGGAAGTTTGGATGTGTCTATGAAGCTTCCATGACCTTGCCTTGTACAGGTTGTGCTGGCGTCTCTAGTATTGTGTACTGCCTTACCCTTCACCAAAGTTACCACTTATCTATTGACCGTTTAGTATTCCCTCCCTCCCACCCCTCCCTCATAATCAACAAAGATTGTTTCTTTTTGTGTGTAAACCTTTTCATGAGTTTTTACACTAGTGGTCTCATACAATATTTGTCTTTTGTGATTGACTTATTTCACTCAGCATAATGTCCTCTAGTTTCATCCATGTTATGAGATGCTTCACAAATTTATCATTGTTCTTTATCATTGCATAATACTCCATTGTGTGTATGTGCCATAGTTTGTTTATCCATTCATCTATTCATGGGCATCTAGGTTGTTTCCATTTTTTTGCTATTGTGAACAATGCTGCAGTGAACATGGATGTGCATATGTTTATTTGGGTGATAGCTCTTATTTCTCCAGGATATATTCCTAGCAGTGGGATTGCTGGATTGTGTGATATTTCTATTTCTAGCTTTCTAAGGAAGCTCCATATCATTTTCCAAAATGGTAATATCATTATGTATTCCCACCAGCAGTACATAGGAGTTCCAATCTCCCCGCAGCCTCTCCAACATTTGTTATTTCCATTGTTTTTGATTCGTGCCAGTAATGCCTGGTGAGATGGTATCTCATCGTGGTTTTAATTTGCATTTCTCTAATGGCTAGTGATCACGAGCATTTCCTCATGTGTCTGTTGGCCGCTTGAATGTCTTCTTTGGTGAAGTGTCTGTTCATTTCCTTTGCCCATTTTTTAATAGCATTATTTGTTTTTTTGTTGTAGAGGTGTTGGATTTTCTTCTAGATTTTAGAGATTAGACGTTTGTCTGACTTGTACTGTCCAAAAATTTTTTCCTAGTCTGTAGGTTCTCTTTTTACTCCTTTGGTGAAGTCTTTTGAAGAGCATAAGTGTTTAATTTTTAGAAGATCCCAGTTATCTAGCTTATCTTCTGGCGTTTGTGTGTTGTTGGCTATGGTTTGTATCCTCTTAATACCATGTATTAGGACCTCTAGCGTTGATCCTATTTTTTCTTCTATGAACTTTATAGTTTTTGGGTTTATGGTTAGGTCTTTGATCCATTTTGAATTAGTTTTGGTATATGGTGTGAGGTATAGGTCCTGTTTCATTTTTTTTGCAGATGGACATGCAGTTTTGCCAGCACCATTTGTTAAAAAGACTCTCCCCCATTTGATGGACTTTGGGCCCTTGTCATAGATCAGGTGACCGTAGGTGGATGGATTTACATCTGGGTTCTCAATTCTGTTCCATTGGTCAATGTATCTGTCGTTGTACCAGTACCAGGCTGTTTT